ACACACACACACACACACACACACACACACACACACACACTTAGAAAGCTATTGCTCTGGACTGATCTCAGATATATCTAACCTATGATTTTTCCATTTTCTTCCTGGGTCTCAGGGAGAAGTTGTTACGAGTGAGCTCCCAAGACTATGGGAGGGACCTTCAGAGTGTTCAGAACTTACTGAAAAAACACAAACGCCTAGAGGGAGAGCTGGTGGCACATGAACCTGCTGTCCAGGTATGAATGGAATGCCAGATCTAAAGAGACATAAATCACCTAAAAGCAGTTCTTCACATCATAGTTAGATAAATCAATACAGTAAAATGCACGAGCAGTGTTCAGACATAGATAGTCCTCATTCAGTTCATGGGAATTCTTCTCTTGTCCAGATTTTGTGTCCTCTGAATAGAAGGTTCCAGACAGGATGCTGAGATCTTTCCTAGAATGATTAATTTTGACACTGATAGACAGTCACTGACAACCGGCATGTGGGTTGAGATGCCTGGTAAAGATAACTCTGGTACTGAACTGGCAGCAGAGTTCCTTTGTGACTGAATAACCCATATGGCAGAACAAAGGGAGAAGTCTACTGGGTTTCTGGAAAGTGTGTCAAAATATTTGGAAAAGCTTAGCATGGAAGATATTGATATAGCTTTCTTCATATTCCAAGTACCCCGGGGCCACCTCAAGTCCCAGGAGCACATGGAAAATCTGACATTAGGAAAGACAAAATCCCCTGTCATGAATTATGCCCAAATGAGAGGAGATTGTGGGATAACATAACGTGGAATATGTGTTTTTTCAGAATGTACTGGATACAGCAGAGAGCCTGAGAGACAAGGCTGCTGTTGGAAAAGAGGAGATTCAGGAGCGGCTGGCTCAGTTTGTTCAACATTGGGAAAAGCTCAAAGAGTTGGCCGAGACCAGGTGAGTTGGACAATAGAAATCAATGAAGCTCCTGTGTTTGGACAATTAGACTGGTGTTTGAAGGACGCTTATGTTTCAGCTCAACATGGTCTACAGACCCAATCTATTTTATTAATTCCCACACAAGAACCAAGCTTTTTCATGAACCTGTCCTCTGGTGGCTGTGGGCAGACAGTTCTTTCTGGGGAATAGGAGGAATTTACCAGAGTTGGAGAGATAGCTCAGCAGTTAAGAACACTTGATGCCCTTACAGGAAACCCAAGTTCAGTTCCCAGGACCCATAATTCAGTGAGTGACAACCACCTGTAATTCCAGTTCCAGGGGATCCAATGTCACCTCCTGGTCTCCACAGTCACCAACATATACATAGTAGACATTCATACTGTCTTATTTACTATTTCTACTGCTATCATAAAGCAAAGCAACTTGGAGTAGAAAGAGTTTATTTTGGCTTACAGTTCCACATCACATTCCATCTCTAAGGGAAGTAAAAGCAGGAACTCAAACAGTGCAGGATCCTGGAGACAGGAGCTGATGCAGAGGCAATGGAGAGATAGCTTGCTTCCAATAGATTTCTCAGCCTGCTTTGTTACAGCATCTTGGACCACTAGCCCAGAGTTAGCACTCAGACAAACACACATATGCATAAATTAAAAATAAAAATTTTCAAAAGCAAGGATCTTTTCTGGATTTGCAGTACTTTCATCAGATGAGAGAAAAGACAGTGCTTGACACAGGGAGCCTCTGCATCACTAAGGAGTGTCTCTGACCCTGAGACTTTTATTTGGGTGGGATTTCCTTCATTCATCAAAGTTTCAATACTATTGCAAAATAAGGTCTGACAGCACTAGTCTCTTCTGAGTCACAGGGGATCAGCACCACTGACCAGTAGACATGTAGATTGCGTTCTTACCCTATTAAGCTGCGACTGTCTTGAGAACCAGTGGTTTTCTGGGGTGGGATTATGCCACTCTGCTGTAGCTCCACAGTTTACCTGTTCTTTCCTACTCCTGTTGGGCTAACCACATTGATACAGAGGGGCAAAGTTGGAAGAGTCTCTTCAGTATCTGCAATTCATGGAGAATGCAGAGGAAGAGGAAGCTTGGCTGAGTGAAAAGGATGCTATGGCCAGCCGGGGGGATTCTGGAGACACACTGGCTGCTACTCAGGTAAAGAAAAGGCAAAAATGGGTCCATCGTGTCATCTCTTTCATTTTGATCTTTCCTTAAGAATGTGGTGTTTTCATCTGTAAAAATTAGAGCCTGTGTTCTGGGTTAGAGAAATGTGAATGCTTCTGTTAATTTTAAATATGAGAAAGCAAGATCTGACTTGTCTAAGTCATGGAGCAAAATGGGGAATGAAGGCAGAATTCAAAACTTAACCTGTGATCTGTCTGCATAGAAGACATCATAGACATCATGATGATAGACCTTGCCTCATAGGTATAAGTCTTTAGAGGTATATGTTATACATATATACATAATACATACATATATCACATATCATATATATATCTTCTAAAGATTCTCTCACGTATCAATGTTCCATTAATCTGAAAAAAATAATGCTCATTTGCCTGAAATTGGTTACAGTTTCCAAAATACATAACTTTAAGAAAAGAAGAATTTTAGCATGCCTATTAACAGACCTAGTTCCACATTTGGAGGCATCATTTTAAGTTATGTTTATTGGGTTTGTTGAATAAAGAAATTAACAACCTTTGTGTGGGATCTTTAGTTAATGCAGGTTTTGGCATCTGTGGAGAAAGTCTTCACAGAACGGTAATTTTCTCATGACTTTGAGTCTGTTTCATGTACAAAGACTTTTCTAAGAGCTCTGTGTGGAGCTGAATCACTTCTATGTGAGGTCATAAAAGAAAACTTAGATTTGCAGGAAAAAAAAATAAATTCTGAAGGGCAAATGACTCAGATTACCAGTATTTTAGTTAAAAATATCTTTTGTAACATGTCCTGTGCAAGCTCTAGAATTTTAATGTTCCATATCTAATACTCTCAAAGGCTTCTGCTTTTAAAACTTAAGCTTTATTAATTATTATTATGTTTTGGTTTTGTGAGACAAAGACTTACCATGCATCAGCGGCTGGCCCAAACTCACGTCAGTCTTCTTCACTCAGCCTCCCAAGTGCTTACAGGCTGGCTGTGCACTATCAGAGCCTCTTATTTTTGAAAACCAAATATTTACACACTTTGGAATCAATTCAGAGACACTATGTATCATTTACTGAATATCCTCAAGATGGCCGTCACAAAGCTCCCGCTCTCCATTTCTCTTCTATAGCTATTACCAATTCTTTCCACCTCAAACTGCTATTCTTGCTGTTTTGGTTGTGAGTCTAGCTTTTAATGGCTAACCCATCTCTCCAGCCCTCAAACTGATATTCTTAACTCTTAAACTTCTCTCTATTTTTAAATCAAACCATTGAGCATTCCTGTTTAATGTTCTCGACATTTCTCTACTTACTTATTTAGTGAGTTAAAGCAGTTCCTTGGATATTTTGGAAATTAACCTCTCTAAGATAAATGGTTTGTGTATTTATCATCATTCTGTGGGTGGTGCATGAGCTCTGTTGATTGTTCCGTTGGCTGTGCAGAGCTTTGGAATTTGAAGCAGTCCTACTTCTCTTTTTGTGTCTGTGCTTTTGATGTAAGATGCATGCAATGATTGCCAAAGCAACTGTCTTGAAATTTTCCCTGTATGTGTTCTCTTGAGTGGGGGGATACTTTTCATTATTATATTTAAGTCTTTAATATATTTGACTTGTTTTTTAAATATTGTTTAAGATAACAAGCTTATCTATTTCTTATGCAAGTTTAAATACAGGATTTCAAGTACCATTTATTAAAGAGACTATCCTTTGTCTGTGGTATATTTTTGAGACTATTAGAGACCATAGTCTTTACTAGTTCCACCTGAATATTATAATTGATTTTCTTATCTGTATAAAACCTTTCGAAGAATTTTGATAAGGATTGTGTTGAATCTGTAGATCTCCTCATATGATATGCAGATTTGACAATTTTCATTCTTCTAATCCATGAAAAGTGGGAAGTTGATTTATTACTTGCATTGTTTATAATTTCTTACATCAGTATTACCTAAATTTCAATGTATATCTTTTCAAATCTCTTGGTTAAATTTATGATCAAGAATTTGTTTTCTATGAGATTTATATAAAAACAGTTTTTAGTTTTTCATATAGTTCATTATTAATATATAGAAATGTGGTGTTTTAAGTTGCCTTCTATTCTGAAATTTTTTCTTTTAGATTTTGTAAATGGATGTTTCTCTCCTAAATAACCATTCAGAGGCTTAATATTAATTATAAATGTTCAGTCGATGACCCAGGCTTATTACCAGCTAGCTCTTACATTTGAACTAACCCATTTCCATTAATCTAAGTAATGGCCATGGAATTACCTCGTTTTCTACATGTCTTGCTTCCTCAACAACTGGCTGGTGTTTCCCAGATTCCACCCTTTCTCTCTTGTGTCTCTCCTTGGATTTCCCACCTGGCTCTATCCTGTCTTGTCATAGGGCAAAGCAACTTTATTTATCAACCAATGAGACCAACACATTCACGGTCTAGAGAAAGACACCTCACATCAGGATCTATTGGTTTCACAGTTTCTATGAAATATAGAGCTTTAAACCTTTTAAATCCTTTGATTTCTCAAACAGACTATTTTACTTATTCACTTCTTATTTAGACCATCTTATTTCCTTTTACCAATTAATTGTATTGGCTAGTACTCCCAGAGTTATATTGGATAAAATGTCACAAGTACATATTTTTATCTTGTTCCTGATCTTAAAGGGGAAGTTTTAATTTTAAAAAACTATTTGGTAAACTATTAACTGTGTGCTTTTCATATGTAGAATTTATTGTGTTGAGGTAATATACTGTTTCAATTTTGTCAAGAATTTTTATACTGGAAAAATTGCTGAATTTTTCCAAGTGCTCTTTTGGATCTGATTGAGATCTGATGTGATTTTTCTTTTCTTCTCTCAATGCAATGTATCCCATTTGTTAATCTGTGTATGCTGATCTATACTGGCATCTAAGGAGTAAATTCCACTCATCCTCCTGTAAAGTCTTTAGTTCCCCAACATGTTCAGTTTGCAAGCATTCTGTTGAGGAGTCTGCATCTCAGGTCATCAAGAATATATAACATCAAATAGATGGATGGATTCCTGGAAATGTAAACCTACCAGGAGTAAGTCATTAAGAAATACAAAATATGGTCAGTCATCAGAAATTAGAAAATTTCAACACAGCAAGAGCCTCTTCATTCTTCAAGAACATTAGCCTGTAACTTCCTTTTATTATGATGTCTTCATATGACTCTGATAGCCATAAGGCTTTCCTCAGAAAAGATATTGGCAATTGTCCCCTTTTTTTTCAGTTTTTCGACAGTTTAGAGATGGTTGGCACTATTTGTTTAAGTGTTTGGTTGAATTAGTAGTGAAGCCATCTGGTACTGGGATTTGCTGTGCTGAAATTTTCTGATTTCTGACTACTGATCAGACTGTGTATTTCTTAATGACTTACTCGTGGTAGGTTCACATTCCCAGGAATCCATCCATCTATTCAATGGTGTACATTTTATTTTCATCTAATTGTTGGCAGTTATTTTTGGAGATCCTTTCTCTTTGTGTGGCATTAATTTTCTTTTCTTTCCATTTATATTTGAATTTCTAAACATACCATAGAATGTGAAAAAGGTAAAGGGACTTTATTTAAAGTAATATACATGGTATACACATACAATTAAAGGATAACTAAAGCATTCAGTCTTGCAACATGAATTTCCTTTCAAATCTTCATTACAATTTTTTCAGAAGTGATATAGAAACCATAGTGTACCCTATATTATTTGAGAAGGAATAAGCATCTATTCTGATGCATAAGCACCTCATATGTTGAAATTTATTTTCAAATTAGGATTTATAAAAAGTTCTGTTTGTTTAATTAGCTTGGGTTACTATGCTATGTAAGAAAATGTGTATTAATAAAATGTCTATATGATAAGAGATAGAGTATGGTGGCAGTGGTGATAAAGGTGGTGAGGGCTAGCATAAATATTTTCGATGTAATTTCATAAGAAGATGGAAGTACTGTCCAGCTCCACCCTCACTTCCCTTTCCATCATATAAGCTGCACATATTTCATGCTTCCCAGAAATCAGTTTTTAACAAAGGAGGTTTGGGATGTGATTTGATGACATAATGTTCTTCTTAGCTCCTGCCTTTAGGAAGAGTTCTTAGTTTAAAATTTTCTTAATACTTAATATTTTTCCAAAGATGGAGTGTTTGTAGAATTGCATGAATCTAAGTGTTCAGAAATCCTCATATTTTACCCTAATCGTGTGATTCCAAAATAAAAAGGGAGCAATCCTTAGAGCTATGTGGGAACTGAGAAACACTATCCCTGGATTCCTCTCACTTTTTCCAATGATTACCCTGTTTGATGGGAAAGAATTTTTAAGAGGAACTTGATAGAGCTTTTACAGAGGAAGGGCACCCTCATCTAGTTTATTAGTTGGGCTGGGCCACATCTGTTAAATAACATACTGTAGACTTGCATGTGGATTGAGAGTGACCATTCTTGAACATTATGGGCTTTGCTGATTTGTTCATTCAGAGTTTTCTAAAGAAGCATGAAGCTTTGGAGAATGACTTTGCTGTACATAAGGTCCGGGTACAAAATGTGTGTGCACAAGGAGAAGATATTCTTAGTAAGGTGAGTTCTCAGGGTTTTGTGGCCTTTTCTTAAAGTGGTTGGTTCAAGTACAGACACAAGAACAGTGGTGAAATTAACTGTAGAAAGTAATAAAATAGAATCACATAGAGATTCTTTTGAAATGATATGTCACTGTGTAGCTGTTTCATGGCTTAGAATGTGGGTGTATAGACCGAGTTGGCTTCAAACCCACAGAACACTTCCTGCCTCTGTCTCTGCTTCCAGGGTGCTGGATTTGAAGACATGTTCAACCATGCTCAGCCCATAACACAGAATTTTATTAACCTCTTCAAAGCAGAATTTAGTTGTTTTCCCCAGCAACCCATTACCCACTCAACTGGTGTTTCCTGAAAATTAATTTTTAAGTCTTTAAATGTTCTCCTTTCATTTTTCCATGAAAATACATTGTTGACCTTTTTGCCAATCTCCATAAATCTTTTTTTATTCGTTCAAATTAGGAACAAGCTTGTTTCACATGTCAATCCCTTCTCCCTCTCCCCCATCCCCCATCTCTCCCCCTTCCTCCTGACTACCCCCCACTCCATCCACCCTCCACTCCCCAGACAGGGTAGGGCCCTTGATGGGGGCTCCCCAAAGTCCAGCACATCATCCTGGGCCGGGCCTAGGCCCTCCCCCAGAGTGAGAGTGCATCTCTTCACATGGGATGGGCTCTCAAAGTCCGTTCTTACACCAGGGAAAAAATACTAATCCACTACCAGGGGCCTCCTAGAGTGCAGAGGCCTCCTCATTGACATCCATGTTCAGGGATCTGGATCAGTCCTGTACTGGCCTCCCAGACAGCATCTCGGATCGATGTGTTCCCCCTTGTTCAGGCCAGCTGTTTCTGTGGGTTTCTCCAACCTGGTACTGACCCCTTCAATCTTCATTCCTCCCTCTCTACAACGAGGTTCCAGAGTTCAGTTCAGTGTATATCTGTGGATGCCTACCTCTGCTTCCATCAGCCACTGGATGAGGACTCTAGGATGGCATAAAAAGTAGTCATCAATCTCATTTTAGGGGAAGGGCGTTTAGGTTATCCTCTCCACCATTGCCTAGATTGTCAGTTTGTGTCATCCTTGTAGATCTCTGGAAGTCTCCCTAATGCTAGATCTTTCCTTGGACCTATAATGGCTCCCTCTAATATGGTGTCTCTCATCCTGCTCTCCTCTATTCTTCCCCCAACTCAATATTTCTGCTCCCCCATTTCCTCCTCTCCTCTCCTCTTCTTCTCCCATTCTGGAATCTCCATAAATCGTAAAACTAGTTTTTACTATTATATTCGCTATTATATTAGTTAGGGGTTCCATTGCAGTGATAAACACCATGACCAAAATAACTTGATAAGGAGTTTATTTCATTGTATGCTTCTAGTTAATAGCCCATCATTGAGGGAATTCCAGGCAACAACTCAAGCAGGGCAGAAACTGAAAGAAAGGCCATGGAGGAATGCTGTTTCCTGTCTTATTCCCTTTGACATTTTTAGCCTCTTTTCTTATAGTACACATGTCTACCTGACCAAGGGTGTCACTGCCCAAAATTACCTTCTCACACCAATCATCAAACAATCAAATACTCCTACAGATTTATCCACAGGACAATTTGGATGTGACATTTTCTCAATTCAAATCACCTCTTCCCAAATGACACTAGCTTGTATCAAGTTGGCATAAAACTAACCAGTACATACATGGCGCACCCCAAGAGCCTTAAATTCATTGTCCTCTAGGCCTCTTGAAAAGAGGACCACACAAGAACATCTTAACAGTTTGTGATCTTTCTTTTGCTTTCATCATCTTTACAAAGCCTCATTGATCCCTAGAGATGACCCTGTGTCTTCAAGAAATGTCAATAATAGAATCACACCTGAATAAACAAATATGCTGAAATTGTCCAAATGCTAGAATGGAAATATTCTTGAACACATGTGAGGAATGGAATAATTACAATAGACAATTACAATAGTGTGGTATTAGGTGTTTAGGATAAGATAATTGAAAGCTTTTTACTGGTGGCAAAAAATCATGTTTCTAGCTCTGCAGCATGTCTGCCTAACTCCTCTCAACCTTGGCATTGCAGGAAGAAACTCAAAACAAGGATAAGATTTCCACAAAGATCCAAGTCCTGAATGAAAAGACAACTTCTCTGGACAAGGCAGTAGCTACTTGGAAGTTACAACTGGATGATGATTATGCCTTCCAGCAGTTTAACTGGAAGGCTGATGTTGTGGACTCATGGATAGGTATGAGATGCCAGGGCTGCCATCCTTGGTTTGAAGAGTACTATTTGAAGAATGGCCTCTGGATTTTCTTTTACCTCTGGAAATGAGGTGAACTATTCATTTTTATTCTTTCTGGACACAATCACACACACACACACACACACACACACACACACACACACACACACACACACACACACACAAAACACACGTTAGAGAATTAAATGTCATAAACCCACAGAACACAGTTGCTAGTGACTGGCAAATTCATGTATGATATTCAGAAGGAAAATCCTCCACAAAATATCCTAGGATACACACTACAGTGTATGTTGATTTGTTTGTAATTCATGTTCAGACCTCAACTTTCCTTCATTCCACGATTCAATTTTCTTTTGCCCTCAGGAGTCTCAGTCAGTTTTATTCTGTCTAAGGACAGAAAGGCAACCCATTCTTCCCACTGCTTGTATATTCTCCAGGGTCACCTGTTCTGAGAACCAGACTTCTCACCGAAGCTTTCTCACCCACTACTACAAATAATCATCTAATATTCCCTCCTGGCTTTCCTTGGTTTCTAGGTGAAAAGGAAGCAAGTCTGAAGACCAAGATCAACGGTGCAGACCTCACTGCCTTTCTCACACTCTTGGCAAAGCATGTGAGTGAAGGATGCCATGTCAAATGGGGCCAGAGAAGCCAATATTTATAATTTAGTTTGCCAATAACTCTCTCTCTCTCTCTCTCTCTCTCTCTCTCTCTCTCTCTCTCTCTTTCTCTCTCTCTCTCTCTCTCTCTCTCTTTGCTTTCAGCCCCATTTCCTGCAATTAGGTGTTTGTTTTTGTCATCTTCAATTTTTGGTTTTACTAATTTTCTCCACTAGTGCATCCTTAAAAATTCCTGTAAATTGGCAGTTTTGTTACTCTAATTAGATGTTGGATGGAGAAACTTAGGGCTGAGGTGACATCTCAGTGGTAAAGTGCTTGCTTCACAAACATGAGGAGTGGAATTCAGACCCAGGACCAGCCCTGGGAGGCAGAGACAGAAAGATCTCGAGAATTTATGCTTCTGATTTCCACAAGAGAATAGTGTCTCAAAGGAGAAGATGTAGACAAATGAGGAAGACATCTGATGCCATCCTCTAGCCTCTGCATGTACACACACACACACACACACACACACACACACATTCTAGCCTCTGCATTTACCATTTACACAGACACACACGTATAAACCCACACACAAAGACAAAACACGGAACTACGGGACTTCAACCTTCCAATAAGCACACAGGTAGCTCGTTTTAAAGACAGTATTTTGTTCATAGTATAATGCTGTTAGTTCAAACAGTACCACAAATGACAAAGTTACTGACAAATGAGAAGAGCATGGGAGGAAGGATAAGATCATAATGGAAGCGGGAAAGAGACTGGGTCAACACAAATCTCTCCTGAGGACATTGGTCCAAGTGACCTGAGGACCTCTTGTTCAGCACTGTCTCTTTAAGAATCCACAATATCATCACTGCACAGCGGATGAAGCATTTCACATGGGTGTCTTACAAATATTATATATTTGGACACCATGCTATTCTCTATTATGTTTTGTTGGAAAGTTGAATATGTTTACATTTAAGGTAATTAATTCACAAATTTCATTTGAAGCTTTACCGCCTCCTCCAGCCAAGCCTCTCCTTTTTGGTCATGAATTAGGAGACTACAAAGTACACCCTGTGTGTGAGGACCTGCACCCCTCATCTGCTTCTTCCTAAGCACTGTCACTAGAGCGTGTGCTTCATAGGTCCTCAAGTCAGCTCATTGACACCACAAGGAAGCATGCCTAGCATCTGGGGCTCTTTGAACTATTTCTGCTTAACTCCAAGGACACTACCTGCTCATTTTTGCAATCTAAAGTGCCTTGAAATTAAAATACAGAAGAATAGTGACTCTATAATTCTGCAGTTCTCTTTCTATAGCATCTGCAAAACTGGATGTCCCAATTCCCCAGAGTGGCTATTCCTGCCCTTTGAACTGGATGTGATTGCCAAAGGCTCAGCGGTGCCTTCCTGTGAATGTCCTACCCTGCTCATCTTATTCTTAGAAGGGACAGACAGAGGGAATATTCGTCACTGCAATACTCTTCCTTCCAGGCATTGCAGGCCCTGCATTTGTAGCTACTTCAGTTGCTTTCTGGCTCCATTCAAACAATAAACGTTTTGATAATTTTAAATTTGTTCTCAGAAGTTCTGGAGAGATGGCTCAGCAGTTAAGAGTACTGACTCTCCTTCCAGAGTGCCAGGGTTTGACTGCAAGCACCCACATGGCGGGAACAACTGTCTGAAATTCCAATTCAAAATGACCCAATGTCTTCCTCAGGTCTCCACAGGCATACATGCAGATAAAACACCACACATATAAGTAATAAAATAGATAAAATCAAAATTTTAATTGTTCTCAAAAAGAGAATTAGTCTAATGTGCTGGGCTTTAATCCCAGCAAGCGGCAGAGGCAGAAACAGGTGGTGGCAGGCAGATGAAGGCACATCTCTATGACTTTAAGGCCAGCCTGATCTGTATAGTGAGCTCTAGGCCGAAAGTGCTACATAGTGAGAATTTGTATTTAAAGATGGAGGGACAAGAAGAGGAGGAGGAGGATGATGATAGAACTGTCCTAACGCAAGCCGCTTTGTTAAAGCTGACAGTGTTCCTGAAATTTGTGACTTTGATATTAACATTTCTGCAAAAATTTAATCTCTATAACCAGCATGTACAGAGCATTTGTAAGCTTGCATATCCATGGCCCCTAACAGTGAATTGCCTTTAATTAAAGTGGAGTGTAACAATTTAACAAAATCTTAGAAAGTATGTGTGTTATAAGCAGGATTTCATTGTAATTATAAACATTTGAGATATCATATCATGTTCCATCCCCTTAGCAATTTTATTCCTGGTATATGATCTATAAAATATACAGCACTAGTACTTAACCATAATTCCAAATTCAGGTGTATATTCAAATCTCTAAATTATATTTCTTCTCCTCAGAAAATATTCTTATTTTGGGGGGGCAGGTTCGAGACATTTTGGGTTTTTTTCTGTGGCTTGGGAGGCTGTCCTAGAACTAGCTCTTGTAGACCAGGCTGGTCTTGAACTCACAGACATCCACTTGCCTCTGCCTCCCGAGTGCTGGGATTAAAAGCATGAGCCACCAACGCCCAGCTCTGATAATATTCTACCATCCTTTTAAACATATCCTATCACTAGCAATTGTCATTAACCATCATGATAAAAGTCTGTTTGGGCACCGGCATGAGTGATCCTTTGGACACTTCACTGTGCCTGTTCATTGCTTCTCTTTGATCATCTAAGGACACACTGGATGCCAGTCTTCGGAGCTTTGAGCAAGAACGACTTTCTGAAATCACCGATCTGAAGAATCAGCTGGTGGCTGCTGAGCACAGCCAAAGCAAAGCCATTGAGGAGCGGCATGCAGCCTTGCTGAAGCGCTGGGAGCAACTTCTGGAGGCCTCTGCAGCTCACAGGCAGAAGCTGCTAGAGAAGCAGCTGCCTCTGCAGAAGGTAAGGAAGTAGGGAGGGGGAAAAAACAGAGTGACATGAAAATGAAATGCAGTGGAGTATGATAGGGCTTCAATTATCTGGTTATTAGCCAGAGAATTCAGACACAGTAACCAGAAACCCAATTTGTAAATTTTACAGGCATTTCAGGACAGAGAAAAAGATCAACAAAACATTTTCATTGAGCAAAAAGGAATGCATTTTCTTAGAATGGATAGAAGGTCTTTCTGTTTTGCTTTCAATGGGTTAAGAAATTTTATACTTGACTTAGGATGAAAGCCGGCTACATACAGTGATTGAAAGAGGCGGATAGAACCAGAGTGGAAAGCATTTGTACCAAAACTCTGAACTGGCACCGGTTGGTTCTGTACATTTCTTTAAAGCAGATAAAAGGGTCACTGGAAAAGTAACTGTAAATCATGTTCTCAGTTAATCTCCTTTACTAGGAGGGCATCCTTGAGTGTGTTACTTACCCTTAAACCTTGTGCCACCCTTTCATGAGACAGGAAGATATTTTCATCCCCTTCTGCTTTTCTGAGTCTTACTATTAAATGACATAATGGATCCAGAAATGCAGTAGTCTGTGTAGATCTCGGAGACTAAAGTACTCTTTCCAATGGTAGCTTCTGAGACGTACTACATGACAATCATAAAGCATATCAATAACAACAACAACAACAACAACAACAAAGCTGAATGTGGTTGTGCGTGCCAAAAATCCAAAATTTCTGACTCAGGCAAAAGCAAAAAGATCAAGAGTTCTAGGCCAGACTGGACTGCATAACAAGATTTTGTAGAAGACTTTACATTAAAGACTGGCAATATATCCCAGTGTGGAAGTCAGTGGCAGGACACTAGCCTAGAATGCACAAGGTCCTGGGTTTTATCTTCAGCACCACAGAAGAATTGAAGCAGAATTTTCAGTGTTGGTATTATCTCTAGATGAGAGAACAACTGTGCTTGACAATAATTTAAGGCAGGGAGTTAGGAAAACACACAGCATCTCAGCCTGTAGTTAATTTACAATCTATTAAAGGATATAGGCACAGCAGAAATAATTCTTAAGTGAAAAAATAAAGCAATCATAGTGGCAGCTTTCTATGCATATACACATTCACCATAGAAAGTTACTTAACTTTCTTACTCTGTTTTCCATAATTTTAAATAGAAAAACATTTGTTTTAAATTTTTATTATATTCAATCAATCTATAATACTTTTTTCCATTGTTTATTTGAATTAGAAACAATATTGTTTTACATGTCAATCCCAGTTCCCTCTCCCTCCCCTCCTCCCCTACCACCACCCCCCAACTAAACCCCTATCTATCCCACACCCTTTCTGCTCCCCAGGGAGGGTGAGGCCTTCCATAGGGGGTCTTCAGAGTCTGTCAATCCATAACCTCTTAATATAACATGAAGTGGTCTATAAATTGTGTGTCCATCTTGTTCATTTTTCTTTGTGTTGATTTATTTTAGCATATGGATTACTGAAATTAGTGCAGGATAGTCACCCTCTCTATTTAGATGAATTTTCTTCTAACCAGTTTTAATTGGAAAGTAAGAAAATTCATCTTCCTAATTGCTTAGACAAATCATGTGGACAATTCAATCCATTGCATTAAAAACCTGTGGTGCATTTTGATCCTGAAACATTCCTTATCTCTTGTTTGGAACTGCTATGATTTTTCTTTCTCCCAGTCATGTAAGCTCAGAGTCCTCTGAATACATGGGTAGCTCTGAATAGCAGGGTAGGAGCATGTAGTTCATGCACAGGGTGCGGGTCAATGTGTAGAAGACGGGTTTACTCTGTGACGTGTTAAGCTTCAGTGAGGTCTCCGATGAGCTCACAAGAAGGTTGAGAAAGGAAGGTAGGAAAGTGACTTAGTGTAGTCAAAGAATTGTAATGGTAGGCCATCTGCAAACGCTGAAGGGGAGAAAGGGAGTGGGTAAAGGACAGAACACAGATGCTTGGTTTATATCAGCCATTTTCTTAGATCCTTGTTTAACACTTGTTTAAGAGTGTTTCCTGTGTCAGGTAGGACTGCAGTCCAGACTTCCAAATAAGAAATGATGTGATTGAAAACTGCCATTTCCACCCTTAGTGTAATGGAGGTGAAAGAACGTTGTGAGCCAGTCACTCTCTTCATCTGTAGATGGTGGGGAGCTTAAGGAATTGCACACAGTGAGAAAAGGCTAAACCCCAGCAGTTCCTCTAACTTACGTTCATCCCACCCAATCATAGCACCTCTGCTAATTTTAGTCTCAACAGCTCAGATTGCTGCTCTGCAAATATTTGAAGACACTGTTTTTATCCCGAATATTCTCTTCTCCTATGGGACGTTATCAGAAGCAATGAGGGTGTCTTTTCTTGGCAGGCTGAGGAGCTATTCATGGAATTTGCACACAAAGCTTCAGCCTTCAATAACTGGTGTGAGAATGCTGAGGAGGACTTATCAGAGCCTGTGCACTGTGTCTCCCTGAATGAGATCAGGCAACTGCAGAAGGAACACGAGGCTTTCTTAGCTTCTCTATCTGGGGCTCAAGAAGACTTCAACCATTTATTGGAGCTAGACCAGCAGATTAAAGCCTTAAATGAGCCATGCAGTCCTTATACCTGGTTAACAGTGGAGGTGCTGGGAAGGATCTGGAAGCACCTGCCTGACATCATCAAGGTATCTTGGGGGAGTGCGGCAACCCAACATCTTCTGCTATAGGAAGCATGACCAGTGAAACCATGTAAAAGTTGGAGGTGTTAGGGGAAAAGGGGAATGTTGTCATTAACTAGGCTGTGGCTGAAGTCAAGAACCAAAATTATCTAAGGAAAATTGGAAAGCATGTATATATGTGTCAGAGTAGGTGTCTCTTGTGGTTTGTTGTCTTGTGGTTTATGGGAAATTGAAAAATTATTGAAGGAAGCAATAGAAGATGAGATATAGATGGATGATAGATAGACAGACAGACAGATAGATGATAGATGGATAGGCACATGAATGTCTACCTGTGGAAGAAGGTTAGCTTTGGAATAGAGATGTGCACCTATACCTACAAAATACTTCTTTTATGATAAACGAAGTCCTTCCACATGAATCAGCTCGGCTCTTTGTTGTTTTGAAGGAGCGGGAGCAGGAGTTAAAGAAAGAAGAAGCTAGGCAGATTAAGAACTTTGAAATGTGTCAGGAATTTGAACAGAGTGCCAGTGCCTTCCTTCAATGGATCCAGGAGACCAGGTATGCTGTGCTTTCTTCAAACCGAGACCCCCGCATATGCTGTTTTTAATAAGAATGGCGTAAGTGGCAGAAGGAGGTATTATCTACTCTGCCCCCATCACCGTATTTTGACTCTGATTTATATTTGGATTTAATTACTTCCACAATTCCATGTTGTGCCCATTATTCTCACCCACCCTTTTTATTTTCTTCTTGATATTCACACTTCCCCTTCTATTGTGTAAACTCACACTTCAAAACAATAGTTCTGTGACTGCATGGCGCATTGCACTTTACAAGGTACTTCAAGAACCATTATAGTTCTTAACTGTCAGAGCAACCTTGAAAAGTGCAGAGTGTAACTTATTACCTCTGCTTTCAAGTGTGGAAAATTCAAGTAGATAAATTTTCTTTCTCAAGGTCACATATGTATTTATTGACATGACCAAAACACAGAACCTACTGTGAGTACCCAATACAAAGCTATTATGTCTCCAGCCAACTAAAGCCATAATGAGAATGGAGTAGTATAATAGAGCCTAATTTCATTTATTATGTGCAAGATGTATGTGAAGATAATGTATAGGACATCTTCTGAGTAAATGACCTGGAAAAGAGGATTCATAAAAATGTGTAATATGTTAGAATAAATGGTCAATGTATGAAGATTATGCCCATTAGGTAAGCCACTAATGCGATATTTCGAGGTTTACTGTTGGCTAGATAATCCATAATTAATGCTTGTACACTAAAGAAGAAGAAAAATGCATCTTATCTAAAGATGTACAACTGGCTGAGACCATGTGATCAATGCACCCTCCTTTGCCCCTGGCTTTGGTTCCTTTATATTACCCTGTAGTGTTTGCAGGATACTTAGCATACTGATTGCTATGAGTGCTCCTTGTCCCGAAGAGAGGGGCTTCAAGAAGTCTCTGAGTTTCCCAGAGTACCAGAGGTTTTGGAAGCAGCATGTGGATGTATAGATTCCTATTTTGTGACCAAAACAGACTTAAAATGTGTCATCAACATGAAGAAATGGAATCATTATTTGTGCTAACATATGTTTTCTTTTTTTCTCTCATGATTCCTGCTCCGGTCCATCATGTCCAGGGCTTATTTTCTGGATGGGTCAGTATTTCCTGTAATTATCTTTGTTTGCTTGTAATGTCCTGGAATACTTAGCTAAGGAAACTTTGGGGCTGAGGTATACTATCCCGCCGTAATCTAATAGTTCTTAATTAAAGATGTGGGGCAAGAAAAAAAAAAGGTTATTTCCTCCTAACTCCTGCATGCACAGTAGGTGGTACTTCTCTCACAAGTCTTAAATATATAGAATAAAACCTTCATATCCAATGAGAACTGTATCTATATGTTCAACCAACTATGGACTGAAAATATTCAGAAAAACTGTATCCTTACAGAATATATAAACATTATTTTTGTTATCATTCTCTTTCAAGTATCTAACAACTATTTAAACTGTATTGGATATTACAAGCAATATAGATTATGTGCACATACTGCATGCCACATTTCCATTTTGTAACTGCAACAGCCACTATGTATCCACAGACACCCCCATGGATACCAAGGGACGACTAAATTTGAGAGTAGAACTAAGAAAGACATGTGACACCTTCTTCTAGATACAGGGGAGCTAGGATTGGCTTTAATTTCCTTTTCATCTATCTAAAAAGATTGACAGATAGAATGCTTGTTTATTAAAATTTGGCTTCATGAAACTTTATTTTATGGAATCTACATAACTTGAAAGAAACAGAAACAATGAACTGCAGAGGCTTTGAGCTAATGGGTCTGTGAAATATGGATTTCTGTTATAACAAAGAATGTTTGCTTTTGATTCTTAATTAGATCATTGCTCAAGGAAACAGGAACTTTGGAATCCCAACTCGAAGCAAATAAAGTGAGTAATGTTTGTTCACTCACTGAAGACACTGCTTGAATTTTAAAAAGCACAGGAAAAAACACACAGAAGCAACCTGGTGATATTTTAGGTAGCAGTTACTGAAGGTCGAGAAACCAAGGTTGTAGTCCTACTCTGATGTCAAGTTGCATTTTTTAACTACAGACCGCCACATTATTGATATGGGCCTCAGTTTAATTAAATCTTTGTGTGTCAATTTCTGCAACAATACAACTGATCTACTTAAAGATGGCTGATGCTCTTAAATAAAAGAACAGATGTATATGTTCCTAGCCTATAACCTGGAGCATCAGTACATTTCTGTTATTTGATGCAGCCAGATGATATAACTGAACGTAAATCTTCTCCTGTCAACTGAGGGAGGCAGTGAGTTAGAAGAGTATTTCTCTGTCTTCTATGCTTTATTGCCTCTTTGCAGGATTAAAAAATAGCTAAATATAACTTTTTCCTAATGAGAGAAGAATAATAATATTTTCACCCAACCCTCAGAGCCACCTTGTCCTTTGACTACTTGGTGAACAGTTTCCCCTTATTGGAATGCTTTGGGAAAATGTAGAAATTTTTTATATAACCTGCTTAAATGGCAACAGCATCCCATCATCTCTGATGAAGGAGTAGTTCAGCAAGTGGACACACTAAAGGCATTAGATGAGCCAGAGGGCTCAGCCCCAGTGAATGATGGAGATAATACCCAGTGCAATGACCAGAGCTGGTGGTGTCTGAGTTCCAGGGTGACAGACATCATTTCTCATAAACTTCCTACTGTTTTACAAAAGGGTGACTGTGGAAGTGAAGTAGTTTTCCTGAGTTGTCCTTATTTCATAGAGAATAAGAGGACCTTTGAAAGTGAACAAATTAGTTAGTTCAGCCTCTTCTTCCTTACCTTTTAGCTTGTAACTCGTGGTTTGACTGACCGCCTCTCTTCTCTTTTTCCAGAGGAAGCAAAAAGAGATACAGGCAATGAAGCGACATCTGACTAAGATCGAAGACCTGGGGGACAACATGGAAGAGGCTCTGATCCTTGACATCAAATACAGCACCATTGGACTGGCCCAGCAGTGGGATCAGCTGCACCAGCTGGGGATGCGAATGCAACACAATCTGGAGCAACAGATCCAGGCTAAGTAATGATGGTTAAACCTGGGGCATGGAGAGGGGCCGTGGTGTTACATGTTGTAGCTTAACTAGGCTGGATTTAGGACACCTGATAAATGGGTGCTTCAGAGATACTACACTTACCTACCAATATTCTCTATTTTCTGCTCCACAACTGGGCTATTTCTCTTTATACCAGGGTCTACTATGAAATAAGAGGTTATCCCTCCCTGTGTGTGTACCATCCTCTTCCTAGACACATGAGTCCTTCATCCAGGTTTCAGGATTCCTTTAACATTGTGTGATCTTTCAGAAACCATTCTCTTTCATAAAATTCTGTTGAAAATATAATATCTAGAACTGGGGTTCAAATTAGGGACTAACAGAGCATAAGTGAAGAAATTAATCTTTCCTAGATAAATTAAACCTATCACAGTAGCTTTCTGTCTCAATAGTTGTTGTATTTTTGTACTTTAGAAATTGACAATCATCTTCTGTAAATTACCTCATTATAAATAATTAAGTCTCTTCAAACCATTAAATTTCTGTTGGAGCTTTTCAATTTTGCTAATATACTGGCAAGCAGCCAAAGAAAATTCATAACTGAATGAACATGGCTGTGTTCCAATAAAACTTTATTTACAGCCATTGAAATTTAAATTTCACATATTTTTCATGCTTCATATAATAATTTTGCTTTGATTGTTTTCAACTACAAAGAAATGTTGAAAGCATTCTTGACACATGGGCTGTTAAAAAAAATAGGAAGCTGAATTTGACTCCTGGAGCATAAGTTGTCCACCTCTGAACTAGATAGCTCAAATAATACATTATTTGTGTGAATCTCTCAACCTTTGGTAACATAGTCTCTTGACATTCCCTGTTTTATTTACAGAGTTAACTCATAATTTTCCTTCCAGGGACACCATAGGTGTGAGTGAAGAGACACTGAAAGAGTTTAGCACCACATATAAGTAAGTATAAGTTCATAGTTGACTAGTTCCTTGTCTTTTAGAAAGTTCAGAGTAAGTTTACAAATAATAACTTCCCCCTCTATGTATCTTGATGGTATTTTCAGTGAAGAAGTAGTCTAGGTGTGTTGATTATCCTCAGTAAAGATCTAGTTTAGGTATGTGAATTAGCATCACAATTGGATTTTAATATCTAATTTTAATAATCTGTGAGATCCTGGATTTAAAAACAAAATGTGTCTTTAAAACATCATTCAATGAGTGATTACCTTTGCTCTGTGAATTTCAGCTCTTTCTGAGGGCAAAACTCGAGAGAAGAATATTCAGTGCTTTGTGTTAGTCCTCCCTTTGATGGGTTTAACAAAACACACAGGGCTATGGATGGATTCTCTACTCTGTGTTCCAGCAATCTTATGGCATGCATTAAAGATCTAGTGAATACAATGGGACCTGATCTGTTCTGTTTCAACATGGAGCTTTCTTGAGCCTGAAGAAATGTTTTTGTTCTTTAGACACTTTGATGAGAATCTGACAGGGCGTTTGACTCATAAAGAGTTCCGGTCCTGCCTAAGAGGACTCAATTACTACCTGCCTATGGTAGAGGAAGGTGAACCTGAACCCAAGTTTGAGAAATTCCTGAATGCTGTGGATCCAGGGAGGTAAGAGGAAGAGGTCAAGGGTTGGGGCTTTAGTGGAGATGAATATAGAGTGAAATGGTCCATGAAATACAAAATTAACTAACTTGAAAATAGGTCAATAAGACAACTGAGAAGCTTTATTTGTTTTTGAGATTGGTTCAGAAGTAAATGGTATTTGTGCCAACTTAGTCCCAAGCTCTACAGTTTTCTCAACTTGTGTTTTATGTTTAGCCTGTAAATTTCAGCTGTTTCTGAAGGAGGAACTTGAGAGAGGAATCCTCTCTTTTCTGTGAGCTCTTCAGAAGAAATTCATAATTCAAAGGGCACAGTATATGGTGGAGTCTTGCATGCTTGTAGGACTTGACAGAGCCAAGTTACAGTAAGGAAGTAATTCTTTCTGATTCTAAAGATAGAAGCAGACAAAGGACTTGAAATGATAGGATATTCAAAAGGAAAAACAAAACATGGCTTTGACCCATGTAGACTCTTCTGGGATCTCAGAACTGAGTGTTTGTCTAGAAGAGGATGATAGGGGTCAGAGTGCAGAACACCCACATATCAGAGAGATTACCTGAAAGAGAACTACAGAGGATTCTCTGTCCTGAGATATTACACAGGATTGAAGGAATACACTTTCCTTGTCTTGAGAAGGCTCAGCTCCTGCTCTGTTTCCCTGATAGGAAAGGCTACGTCTCTCTAGAGGACTACACATCATTCCTGATTGACAAGGAGTCAGAGAACATCAAGACCAGTGACGACATAGAAAGTGGATTCCAAGCCCTGGCAGAAGGCAAGGCCTATATTACCAAGGAGGACATGAAACAGGTGAGATTCCCATTGCTGTTGCTTCTGTGCTGACACTATAGCATTGTCTGTTTCCTCCATAAGCAGCCACCCAAATACCCACTGTATTGCCTCAGACCTTCTGTTTCACAAGGTATCACTGTTACAGTTAAGTCATTTACCTCACTCCAACTCAAAAAACTTCTAAAGGTTATCTACTGACTATTACAATCAGTTCAAAACTTGCAATGAATTTTTCAATAATTGATGTCATTTCTACTTAATAAGCCAAATTTAGGAAATACAAAGTTTTAAGTTCCAGATGTCCATGAACTATTAACTAAATAATGAAATATATGATATATATGGATATATACTATATATCACATATATATCACCTTTTTCCATTATCTATCTTCATAAATATATATATGGAATTTATTGGGTCATAAGAAAAATATGAAGCCTGCAGGAAAATTGAAGAACCTAGAAATTATTGTATTTAGTGTGGCAATCAGGACTCAGAAAGGCTAATGCTGAATTATCTCACACTGGAACCCTAGATGGTGTCAGTACGCATGGACAGAGGTGGGTTTGAGTAGGTATAGTCCAAGGAACTACAAAGGGAACCACAAGAGGGGAAAAGAGCGTTTGAAGTACAAGTGGGGACTGACAGACCCATGGGACATGTAAAATGAATAGAGGACTACCGGGACTGGAAGGGTACAGGGAAGTCAGGAAGGTGGGGGAAAAGAATGAGGGAGGGCAAGATCAACAAAATCAAATTGTGTTTGAAATGCCATAATAAACCATTTCTTCATTTTTGTCTCAAAATCTCAAAGAAGTGGATGTGAAAAAAAAAGACTTGGGTAGAAATTTGAAACATTTTCATTCACTGGAAGTCATGAATTTACAAGAGAGAGGAGTGATAGGAACAAGGCTGTTTCTCATGAAGACTGTCTACCTCCTGTGTTTCAGACAGGTAGTGAACACACAGAAACAGCTAGTGTTGGATTTCTGTAACTGTGTCTTTCTCTTCCCATTCTTTTCAGGCTCTAACCCCAGAACAAGTGTCATTCTGCACCATACATATGCAACAATATATGGACCCACGGGGTCGAAGTCAACCTGCTGGCTACGACTATGTTGGCTTCACCAATACATTCTTTGGCAATTGATAACCACATTCTTTTGGATCGTAGATCATGGTGTTGCAGGAAATGTTGAGGGATAAGAAGCACAGACAAGTGTGGAAGAAGAAAAGATGATGTGTGTGTGTGTGTGTGTGTCTGTGTGTCTGTGTGTGTGTGTGTGTTTTACATTTATTGCAAAATATAAAATTTTTATCAAGTTTCTGGGGATGTTGCAGAGAGAGGACAGACAGGTATAGGATTATTTGAATATACTTAGCCTTTAACTAGCTTGCTAAGGTTTGAATGTGTGTGTTTGTATGTATTCTGAACACCTTTAAGATTTTTCTTCATTCTGATCATAGAAATGTTTCTTTTTAAAGGGGAAATTTAACTAAAATTGTGCTTCTGCATTTGGGGAACCATATTATTACTAAATAAAAGTAGTTAATTATACTGTGAAGGACAATAATCAAGTAGTAATTCAAGGTGATTTTCAGTTTGAAGCTTTGGAGTATGTTCAAATTCTTACAATTTGAAAATAAAAGTGTGTGTCACTTTATCTTTTTCTGTGAAGAAGAACCACACAAAGATAACAGAAAACTTCTTTCCTGTTTTCATATTTCATTGTTAGAGTGGATGCTTCTACTCTCAGAAAGACACAATTCTGGTACCTCTTCCTTTCTAACTCCTCGAATACTCTCTTAAATTTTCATAGGATGCAAATGATGCTTGTGTTTATTAATTTCTATCTTATTTTAAGTGTCAGAGAAAGTGTTCATAATTTATGAATTAAGGAGAAAATCTAAGAGGATATGGTATTGCGGGTATTTTCAGGACAGATACATTTCTTAGATAATGTTTTTCCTTATGTAAAACTGTTAATGTTTCGCATAAAGAGTCCCTCACCCATGAATATTGTCCCTTAATTACAATATTAAGTCTCAGTTCTTTCACTTGAGTAGAAAATAACCCCTTCTCAGTCTTTGGGGGAAAGAATCCTATCACAGGAGTCAGTTAAAATACAAGCACTGGGCTGAGCTCCAGGAGTCTAGTTGAAGAGAGGGAAGAGAGAATGTATGAGCAAGAGAGGGGGTCAAGATCATGACAGGGCAAAGAGTAGAGACAACTGATCTGAGCCAGTGGGAGCCGTGGAATCTAGACTGACATAGGGAGAGCCTGCATGGGACCAACAGAGGCCTTCCATATTTGGGTGACAGTTGTGTAGCCTGGTCTGTTTGTGGGGCCCCTAGCCATGGGTCAGGATCTGCCCCTGGCTTTTTGGAATCTGTTTCCCATGCCGGGATGCCTGGCCCAGCCTTGGTGCAGGGGGAGGAGCTTGGCCCTGCCTCAAATTGATATGAAGTTAGGTGTTCAACTGATGACCACTGCTAACACACTTATCTGGGGAAGTTTTCATCCTCTCTAACAACCCAGTCAGCTCTGTTACAAACCCACAGTGTTACATTCCCCAGCTTCTGTTATTCTGTCAACTTCTCTGAAGGTCCCAGTCAGTTGAGGAAATGTCCCAGCCATTCTTTAGGAACAAAGTCATGTGCTACCTTAGGCATGAAGCCTTCACTGGTCCTCACCTAGAGTAACCTTTCCATGAACTAAAAGTCAACATTCCCTCTCCATGCTACATTATTAAGAGCAGCAGGTTACATTTATTTAAAAATGATTATGACTCGAGTATATTGATCAATTCTTGATCTAAATATAACATGTTTAGTCACCAACACAAAAGTGGGGGATGATAACTATTTTACAAATGAGGACATTGAAGGTGAAAATGCTAAGTGACTTACCCAACTTATCACAGCTGGTTGAGGAGCTTGTGTTCACACTCCTGCCAGGGCACTTTCATTTATCCCTAACAACACCCAGCAGAACATATATAGAACACTATAGGTGGAAGGTGGAGCAGGCAAAATAAATAGTTCTACAACAAAGTCAGAAAGATGATAGCTAGGTTGAGGAATGAGAAACAAATGCAGCAGCAGGGCTTCTGTCTGTCTGGCATCTACCAGACTGTTACATGCCAAGTTTCAGACATTAGATGAATGTTACTGGTCAAATATTCTCATTGTCTAATCATGTTACAATTCTCAACAATGTACCTGGATCCTGACATCCTAGCCTTGAACTTAAACACTCTGAACTTTCCTCATCTTGTTTAGCTCTGCTGGGAAATTAGTGAATTAAGAAAATTCCTACTTCTTGTTGAGTTTTGATAATTGGGAATGGCATCTATGGGATTAAAGGTGAATATTAAGATTTTTGAACGCACTGTGTATTGAGCCAGGTGACCAGAGCAGGAAATCCAGTCTTATCCTTTCAGGTATCCTAGGAGGAAAAGCAGAGGAGGGGTGTGGCCTTTGGGATGCAGCAGTTTTGGCAAAATTTGGGGTTATGTGGCCATTGAATTGAGCCTGGTCCAGAACCTGCTTACACAAAGGAGAGTGTCTTTGGGCAGACTTCACCCTTTACGGAGTAAACTCCCTCGGAAAGCATTTCTCAGCGCTGATTGCACAGCCCTATTCCTTAGACTATAAACAATGGGATTGAGGAGAGGGGTTGCCACAGTGTAGGTGACAGCAATAAGCTGATCCCTCTCTAGAGAGTAGCTAGCTTTGGGCCTCAAGTACATGAAGGAGGCACAGCCATAGTGAATGACAACCACTGTGAGATGTGAGGCGCAAGTAGAGAAAGCTTTCCTTCGCCCCTCTGCAGAGGGGATTCTCAGGATTGCTACGAGAATGTAGGCATAGGAGACACTAATTAAGAAGAAGGAGACCAAGAGGACCAGCAGGCTGAGGATGAGGATTCCCAGCTCACTTAGTCTTGTATCCCCACAGGCGAGGCTTAGCACTGGAGGTGTGTCACAGAAAAAGTGCTGGATTTCATGGGAGCTACAGAATGAGAGGCGAAAAATGACTAGTGTCATTCCTAGTCCAAAAAGGTATCCGCTCAAAAAGGAGGTGCCAACTAACTGGGCACAGAGGGTGGGATTCATACGGCTGGCATAGTGCAGTGGTGCACAAATGGCCACATACCTGTCAAAGCCCATGACAGACAGGAGGAAGCAGTTGGTACAAGCCCATGAAGCAGAGAAAAACATCTGGGTAGCACATCCCAGAAAGGAGATAGCCTGTCCCCCCATAACCAGGCCAGAGAGCATCCTCGGGATGATTCCCAGTGTGTAACAGGTCTCAGAGAAAGACAGGAAGGAAAGGAAGAGATACATGGGTGTGTGCAGATGGCTATCCAGCCTGATCACTATGATGATGAAGACATTGCTAGTGATGGTGACAAGATACAAAGAGAGGAACAAGACAAACAGCAGAAGTTGAAGCTCCCCGAAGCTAGAGAAGCCCAGGAAGACAAAGCCCTTCCAGCAGGTGACATTGTCCTGTGCCATTCGGAATGATAGTCCTGATAATTCTGATGATTCCTTCCACCATGCCTCTTTAGATGCAAGTGATATGGCTTTTCTTCTCACCTATTGGGAACACACACATAATAGAATCTCTGATTTATGCTGTAATGACACTTTAGAAAATTATGTACTGAATTAGACAAAAGCATGTACACATAACACACATTCCAAATAACACAAGCTATATGTCTAAGTACAGGGAATAAGAACACATGTATATATATATATATATATATATATATATATATATATATATATCACTCAAACTGTGTCTTACACATTTACCACACTGCCAGTACATTGTGCTTTTATGTAATGAATGACATATATTCACATATAGTTTGGATATACATGCACCATGTATTCATTCATCCTAACCTTATACCTAAGAAAATACATTTAGACAACCACAAATACAGCCGTGCTGTGGTGATGCACGCCTTTAATCCCAGCACTCGGGAGGCAGACAGGCAGATCTCTGTGAGTTCAAGGCCAGCCTGGTGTACAAGAGCTAGTTCCAGGACAGCCTGGGCTGATACCCAGAGAAACCCTGTCTCGGAAAACAAACAAACAAAAAACAAAAACAAGCACAAACGCATTGTCTATTAAAACGTATGGTAGAGGTGGAAGGATCTGTGAATGTTTCGTAGATTAGGCAAGAAAGGCCAACAGAGGTAACGTTTTTAAAGTCAAACCAAGGCAGAACTAGAGAACAGATTTGCTGTGTTATAATTCAGCATTAGTTTTTCACACAATGGTTACTCTACGGACACTGTGGGACAATTGTATTTAATAAGTACAGATCAAGTATCTTACTCAATATAAATTGATTGGATCTAAACATTCCCCCCCCTCCCAGCCATTGTATCCTAGGCAGATCCCTTCCCTGAGTGGAGCAGGCTTCTTTTTCATGTTACCAACATGCTGAGCACTGGAGGGAGAATAGAGTGCAGCACAGGCTTGCGCATCAGACTTGGCTAGCCCAAGGAGCAGCCTTTAAGCAGCACTACACTTCCCACCGCCAGATTTGCTGTGAGCCAGGGCATGAATGAGAGCAGGCAGTGCCGGGGAAGAAAAGGAGAGTATTCACTCACATGAAGAAGATCACAGTGGGACCGAGTCCTGCCTTTTGGTAGTCATGACATAGGCAGCTCTCAGAAGACTTCTCTGGGTGAGTAAGACTAGAGGTCTGTCTCAGAAGCTCCTGTTCTGAGAGTAGTGATGTGTCCCAGTGATACCAGGAGCTTCCTTTGGCAACTTTAGCCCCAGGTGGCGATGTGTATTGGCTTCTCTCCAAACAGTTTCTCTCTTGGAGGGTTCTGTAGTCCCCATAGAGTGCTGTTTCAGGAAACACATCTAATTGTGCTTCTTATTGTCACTTGGGACTATCCTTCGAGAAATGTGAACAAAGAGAAGCTAAGATCATGATTCAAGCCACAATAATTTGGGTATCTAGTGTGCAATGAATAAATACATTATTTTTATATACTAGATATCCTTTAAAGCTTGAAATAAGGAAAATAAGGTTATGCTACATTTTCTGGACAGGGAAACTGAGTCCAGTAAAGCTGAAATGACTCATCCAAGAATCCAGTACTTGGGACTTGTGCTTTCAAATTCACAGAAAAAAATGTGTAATTTATAAAACATGCTTATAAGAAAACAGGAACTGGCATTTTCTTACTGTGGACTGAGGAACTAGTTGCAACTATTTCATCATGTGTCCAGTCTAAAGGCCATCGTGAAGATGTGCCTGATCTCTGAGGGTTAATATATTCCTCTATCCTCATCTTACCCTTGTTCAGTGTCAGTCTTTAAAAACAAGTAACATCACCTATTTTCATCTTCTTTCTTTTTTCTATAAATCTAAAATGGCTGTATCCAGATTTACATCCACTTCCCACCCTTTTAATAGCTTGAATCCCCCAAAGTTCCCAAAGCCAGGTTAGGTTAATCAGTGTATACAATTGACATTATCAAAACATGTTTCTTCAGTATGCGCACCTGTGCTGTATAGCTCTACTTTCTTGTGCAATGGAAACCATAATAGTAACTGGTAATATGAGTTCAACACTAGAAAGATTAAATTCTATCTTATGGATTAAATGTTTAATATGAATAAAATGTTTAATTCCATTTTATAGATTCAGTGTGATACTTAAGGATTAATAATATTATCTCTATTTTTGAGAGAGATAGCTAAGTCAAGGAAACATTAAATGCAATGCCTAAAATATGATTTTATCATAAGAAAGCCAACTGGTGACACAGTAGCAAAAGGATTCAAGAAGTCATAATAAAAATATTGCCTTTTCTAAAAAATATTCCTTCTACTTCAATACTATCCCTGATAACCTTCTACCAGTCATAAACATGCGCAAGATGGGAATTATTTGAAATAAAGTTAAGTATTAGTGTAAATTCAAGCTTTCTGACTGTTTTCCTTGAACTATTGTTTTAGTTGGTGGTCTTTGAATTTTAGCACTCATTCCAAGCACAATCCAGTTAAAGTTTTTGTGGAATTATTTTAGTAACATTTCTAGACATGAATTTATAAATAAAATAACAGAAAATATATCATTATGCATAGTGGTTTTTATTTAACCAATGCCCATCACTTGAGCAATCCTCATTCTTTTCTGTAACAAGTTCTCATGGGTGAGTTCTCACTCTCTTCCTTA